TACACAGGCTCAATTAATCACCTAGCAGAAGTTACTCTTGGTATAGTACTCTCCAGAGGAAAGCTAATGACACAGAATAGTCCAATGACCGACCCAGGTTCACAGATGCAGAAAAAAGAAGTCCAGACTCAAATTCACACTGGTATTACTCCTGTCCTTGCTCTTAAATCAATTTCATAAACTTCAGAGATGATAAAAGTATAAACAAAAAACAGATGGAAGACACTTTCATAAACACATCAACTCATTGTATTTAGGAAAAGAAAAATATTACTTACTTTGAAATAGTATTGTTCATAAATAGAATTTGCAATAAAGGTCCATCTAATTTAGTATTGTTCACCAATATTCCACTAAAATAGAAGGTAAAACATATTCTTAGACAATATTAAAGTGAAACTTACAAATGTACATAAAGACTGTACAGTCACATAACTTTTATAATATTTTGTTTCTTTGAGATAGGGTCTCATCTTACTGTGTAGTTCAGGCTGGCCTTGAACTCACTGTGAAGTCTAGCTGGCCTCAAATTTGCAATAATTTTCCTGCTTTAGCCTCCTGGGATTATAGCCCTATGCCATAGCCCTCGCTTAAAAATTTTACCTCAATGATTTTATTTCTCCATATTCTTTGGTTTTCTGTAAAATGTTTTACTAGTCTGAGAATGTGAAAGATACTAATTTTTTTATTAATTTTATTGAAGATATTAATTTAAAAAAATTAAAAGTTATAGTGACACATTCTTCTACAAACTGGCAAAATCTGTAATACCATAATCATTCAAAAGGGGATGATTACCACCCTTGAGATAAATATTTAATGTTTACATGATGTGTGCTGGCTCTGGCCCCGGGTGTGCTGAGACACTGATTAAGACTGGGCGTGGAGGCCAGGGAGATGGCTCAGTGGAATAAGCGCTTCCCTGGCAAGCGCAAGGGCCTGAGTTCAATCCCCAGTTCCACAAAAAAAAAAAAAAAAAAAAAGGACTGGGCGTGACAGGGCGCACCTATGATCCCAGCACTCAGGAGGTTGTAAACAGGAGAATTGCTGAGTCTGATCTAGTAGTGAGACCCTGAGC